GCAGCAACCGCCTCCCGCGTGAACGCTGGGCCGGTTCTCACCGCTGTGGGTCTGCAGCAAGGCTCGCTCCTGCTTCCCCATGGATCGGGAGGGATGTTGCTCCAAGGCCGTCTAGTTCAGCAGGAACGAGGAAGGAAGCAAGGACGACAGACACACTTTTGCATCGTCCCATGGTGGCACTGGGTGCTGAGTCTACACGCTCCAGGCATGGCCTCAGGGAGTGGTTCTTATGCACGGCCCCTTTTACATGTCGCTCAGGTTTCTGCTCAAAGGTCACCTCTTGGAGAGTCCCTCCCTGGTCCCTGTGTCCAGAACAGCCTTCTCTGTCACTTTCCGGCTTGGCTTACTCTGGTCAATTCTTTAATGACCACCACTATCTGACTTGGTCTTCTACACTTTTGTTTTCCCCCATCAGACAAGTGCACCAGCATGGCAGAGACCTCGTCTGTCTTCTTCATCTCCTGCCTGGGTCCCAGCTAGTGCTGTGCCTGCTACAGTGTAGGTGCTCAGGTAAACTTTGTTGCTGAGGAACAGCGCAGAGTCAGTGTGCATTTTACCTAGGAGGATTTGAGGCTCAGAGAGGGGAAGTGACTTACCCAGGGACACACAGCTGGCGAGTGGCAGAGTCTGGATTTGAACTCCGTTCTGCTGAATGCAGAACTTGTTCCTCCCTGACGTTTGAGGGAAGGAAATGTGAAACCGCAATCATTGTGCAGCCCACATACTTGTCCTAGAGAGACGCCAGGCTGACTTCTGGGAGTTGTGTCTTCTTGGTGACACAAAATTTAATGTTTTAATTTGTTTTAAGGTTTAAATATATAGAAGCTCAGGGATGTGTAGGAAATGAAGTGTCTTCACTCCAATTCTACGTCCCTCGATTCCAATGTGATATGTGAATTCTTCTGGAATTTTTTAACTGCATACACGAATGTATGCACACAGACACACACAGGCACTGATACATTCTATATAGAGATGTGAGCATCACTCATATATCATTTGAGATTTGCTTTTCCCTGCTCCCTCTGCTTTGTCTGCTGCAACACTTGCAAGCCCTGTGAAGCTTCATCAGGCCCATTTTACAGATGTGAATACCAAGGCTTACAAGCTGATGGGTCCTGTCTGAGGCTGGTCACGCACAGAGTGACCTCCGCTGCTGGTCTGACTCACTTGCCCACTGCCTGCTTTCGGGTCGGCTGGGAGGGCCCTTGGAGAGAAGCACCAGCCTCCATCTTCCCTAAGGTGACCCCTCCCCACAGCACTCGCTGGGACATGCCATCAGTCAGGATGTGTGGTTTGGCAGCTGAGAAGTTCCCTGTTGGATGAGAAACCACTGGAGAGACTCCAGCTTCCTGAGGCTGAAAAAGTCCCTGCCCGAGACTTACTGCTTCCTAAGCTGGTTCCCTTCCTGGTTCCTTCCCCGTGGTCTGGGATCCACCCGATGGGCCTTCCCCTTGCCATGGCTGCAGACACCTGCTGCGGTTTGAAGGAATCTCTGATACCTGCTTCTGGATTGAATAATGGACCAAAGTTTTCTTCCTTGGCTGGTGTCCCCAAGGGCACCAACTGTCCTCAGGGCTTGGGTGTTGAAGGAGCAAGGACACACTGGCTTGTGCACCCTGCTGGGCACTTCACCCCATGATCAAGGAGGCCCTTTCAATCACAAAGCCCTCACCCCCTCTTCTTTTGGCTCCCATTCAAGGACGCCTCCTCCTGGAAGCCCTCGTTTCTCTCTCACTGGTGTGTTCTTGATTCTTTATGTGGTCGTGGCCTATCTTTCTACTAGATGTTCCTCCTTGATAGCAGGGACTTGGATGTTGCACCCCGAGTGCCTGGAACAGTGTCCGGCACATAGCAGGTGCTCAGTGAACACACAGCTGTAGCAGCAGCCTTGGCAGGTGTAGAATTTCCTCCTCGACTTCCAACCCAAACATCTGAGTGTTCCAATTATAAACTGAACACTGCAGAGTCATGAGAGCCCAGTTCCCGTCCAATTTCACCCGGATCTGGTGCCTCAGGCTCTTTGCATGCCTCTGAGCCTTGCCCTTTATTTTTGGTTGGCTGCCAGGCAGGGACAAGCTGGGATTGGGTGGCCCAGCTCAGCCCCTTTCAGCCTAGTCTGGGGTATATGAACAGACCAGGGGCACAGAAGTCCCAGGAAGAAAGAAGAAGAGATTCTAGGGGGAGAAGACATTCCTGACTGTGTCTCTCTGTCCCCTGACTGCCTCTTCCTCTGGGGTCCCTGGGTCTCCCTCCCTGCTCTCAGCCCCTGCGTCCCCATCTGTGAGTCCTCCCCACCCCTCCCTCTCTGCACTGGCCCTGGAGCCCCCTTCCCTGTCCTGGGCCTCAGGATCTCCCCCTGCACCTGTCTGCCCTGCAGGATGGCGCAGCTGAGCCTGTCCTGGCTGGGCCTGGGGCCCCTGGCAGCCTCCCCGTGGCTGCTGCTTCTGCTGGTCGGGGCCTCCTGGCTCCTGGCCCGCGTCCTGGCCTGGACCTACGCCTTCTATGACAACTGCAGCCGCCTCCGCTGTTTCCCGCAGCCCCTAAAACGCAACTGGTTTTGGGGTCACCTGAGCCTGGTGAGTGAGGCAGCAGGACGGATCTCGGG